CAGGAGGAATAACAGAATAGCTTCAGTGTTGTTGTTTATTTAAACTTGAGTATGAACTTATACAAAATGCAGCAAGATATTAAAAAACAGTTTTATTGATTAAAAAACACTATATCGGATTCATTTCGGTATCGGCAGATATCCAAATTTATGATATCGGTATCGGACATAAAAAAGTGGTATCGTGCCATCTCTAGTTAATATTTGACAAAGATAACCTGGGTAAATAGAAAATGCAGTTTTTAAAATATGACCTTAGTTAAGTTATCCAAACCCTTTGTGAAAAAGTAATTCCCCTCAGTAATGAGGGGCTTTGGGACTCTAATGAACAACGGTGAGAGCCATTATCTGTAAATGGAGAAATCTTGGTACAGTAGTGAAGCTTCCCAGCAGTGGCCAGCTGACCAAAATTACTCCAAGAGCGCAGCGACGACTCATCCAAGAGGATCTTCAGGCATCACTTTCCATCTGTCAAGGTCAGAGTTCATGTTTCAACAATAAGAAAGAGACTGGACAAAAAAGGCAGCCGTGTAAGAGTTCAAGGAGAAAACCACTGCTGACCACAAAGAGCACAAAGGCCCGTCTCAAATTTGGGTCACTCCATGTCAAACCAGCCATTTATTTAGAACATTTCTTGCTTGAGCGTCATCTCGAATTTGCGTAAACATTTTATGGCCCACAGTTTGATCACACACAGTTTCATGTAATAAGGTCAGTGAATTTTTTCCTTTATATATTAAATGTTTTTCAGGGTAATTTTGCTCTCTTTTTTAATTTGCAAAGTGTTCCATTGACCCACTCTCAAACCATTTTTTCACACATTAAAATCTGAGCCAATATTTGAACATGAATATTTCAAAAACAATTAAAGATAAAGCGTCTGGACTTCTTTAAGTTGCTCGAAGGCCAGCAAGTCCACCGTAAAGGTTTTGGACCCGCCTAATCAAAGTTCCATTGAGATGCTTTGGCATGACTTCAACCTGGCCGTTCGGGCCTTCATTGTGGCCCGTGAAAGACTCTTTGCCAGTCACCACAAACATCTGACTGCAGTTCTTGCTGTTCTTTTGGGGTCAATTACTTTTTCACACAGATCCAAGTAGGTAACATAATTTAAAAACTACATTTTGGGTTTACTCAGGTTGTCCTTGTTTAATATTAAAATTTGCTCAATGAGGTGAAACATTTACGTAAATGTGCAAAAACAAATTTAAAATTCAGGAAGGGGCCAAATACTTTTTTACAGAATCCAGGAGTAGCTTATAACAAGGAAAAGAACAGTTTAAAGCCAAGTTTAGGAGTTGTTTCTGCCATTTTAATTTTAATCTTATCTTTTCTTGACTCTGAAGATATCAACGAGTGCTCCATGCAGGGCGTCTGTCAGAACGGAGACTGTTTGAACACACTGGGCAGCTTCAAGTGTTCATGCAAATCTGGTTTTGTCTTGGAGAGAAATCGATGTGTTGGTGAATATAAACCCTCTCTGGCTTTCTTCTCTTCTCTGCTTTGTATTGCACAGCCACAAAGCACAAGACATGAAACAATCGTTCCAAACGTGTAATGTACTGTCGGGATAGATTGCCACAACACTTTTCTCCTGTGTTAGAGTATCCCCCTCTGGGTCAGTGCTTCCGGATAGCATCCAACGACAGGAGCTGCAATTACCCGCTGCCGACCCCCCACACCCAGGTGGTATGCTGCTGCACAGTGGGCAAAGCCTGGGGCCGAAACTGTGAAAGATGTCCTGAGGAGGGCACAGGTGAGTCAGTTTACGGGTTTTACTTCCTGCCACGTCGAGCGTCGTGTTCGTTTTTGTCACGGGGACATCAGTCCACTCGCTGCACACCAGCATAGTCTAGAAACAAAGTTACTTATTTATGATCAACAGAGAATTCCTCTTTAAATAAATAATCATTATTTTCATTTAGCTAGATATATTGTAGAGATTTTTCCAGGTCATTATGCAGCTCAGCTCTTCATTCTTGATGACATGAATGTTTGAAATAGAAATAATAATAACAAAAGAAAGCGTTCGAGCTTTCCATTTTGTTGCCCATGCTTGAAGATACAGTTTGCTGCTGTGTTTGATAATTAGTTAAAATAGTTGCACAAAATAAATCGCTACAGCTTCTCAGATGTAAACAGTTTCTGCTCTCCTCAGTCTGATGGGATGAATAGAATAAGAAAAAAAAGCAGGATATTTTGAACTGTTTGGCCATTAAGTGAACTAAGTAGAATATACTTAATTTTCTTTTCATAATTTAATTTAAATGGGAACGCCTTGGTATTCCCCCGGATAAGCTGGAGGAGGTGGCTGGGGAGAGGGAGGTCTGGGCCTCTTTGCTTAGGCTGCTGCCCCCGCGACCCGGCCCCGGACAAAGCGGATGAAGATGGATGGATGGATGAAGATAAACATTCATACATTGCTCCAAACAAATTAAAGTCAAACTATGAAAACATACAAGAGCTCAGTGGGGAAATACACTCATGCTGGATATCTATACTGATATGGACCGGGCGATGTGTTAGGAATGAAAGGATGACACAGCATTTGATGATGAAATAAAAATGATTGATTTGCAAAAGGCTGAATTTAAAGATCCCTGAAAAAAGGTGAAAAATTATGCAGTAGGCTGATCCAGAAGGCTCTGCTGAGATTTCACTGCAGCAGCTCAGAATGGTAGTTTGTATGGCCCCCATGTGCTGACATGCCTGACAACATCTGGGCACGCTCCTAATGGGAGGACAGACGGTGTCCCGGTGGAATCTCTGCTAGATCTGGATCAGGTCATCACTGAGTTCTTGGACAGTACAAAGTGTTGGTGCCAGATAAACTGAAATAGAGTTGTTTTATTGGATTTAGGTGAGGCGAGTGTTGGGGCCTTGTGATTAGTATCTAATGA